AAATCAATATAACGTAACTGCACGCTGGACAGTTCTGAAAGACTATGAACTGATGCGTCCATTTGATGTGACTGCGGCACCATCTTAATTAAAATCTCAAAATTATAATTCTGCCGGGGATTTTTATGGCAGAGCAGAGTAATGAATGACACTTATGCCTTTGACCTCATGTCTAATGCATCTACCACAGTCTCTCTCATGTCTCTGTCTCTCATTCTGAGATCACCATGAATTGAATTGAATTGAATTTATTGTTGAGGATAACCCCTTGAGATGAAACATCTCGTTTTCGAGGGGGTCCTCGAGACAAAGACAAAGATAATGCAGCACATATACATTCACTCACACTAAAGCTCTACCTCATCCCGCCTCGCCCGACCCACCAACTCCTTATTGGAAACAAATCCATGAGTAAAACATATTGCAGTATTAAGATGCATAACAACATTTAGCCCTGGCTTACATACACATATGTCTATACATACATATATACAAACATCATGTATACACGTACCTACACCCATACTCGCATAAGTACACATAATAAAAAAAATAAAAATAAAAAAATAAAAAAATAAGTATCCCAGATATAAAGGGTATAAAAAACAAAAGTCCAGTCATGCATGAGGAAAACATTTACAGCAACAGTTTGCTTGCAAGTAAGTAAAGAGAGATATTTTGAAGGAACACAATGATGTGACAGATCTTAGAGACCCAGGCAGGCTATTCCAGTCTGAGGGGGCTTTGAATTTAAAGGCACGTCTACCACTCTCTTTGGAGATATTTGGCACAATGAAGGAGAGATATTCAGTGTGTCTCAATCTATAGCTGGGTCTATATGGAAGTAAATATTCCTTCAGGTAAGAAGGATAATTATAATACACACATTTAAAAATGACCTGATACCAGTGATACTGTCTTCTGGCTTTTGGTGATAATAGGTTCAGTGAGTCATACATTACACAGTGGTGAGTAGTAAAAGGACATCTCAGCACAAATCTACATATATTATTGAAAACAACATTCAATGCCTTCAAATTTGATTCTGATGTGTTTTGATAGACAATGTCCGCATAGTCTAATATGGGAAATATTAACTGTGACACAATTCTTAGTCTAATCAGTTGAGTGAAACAGTTAATAGAGCGATACAATATTCGTAAATTAATCTTTTTAACAACAGAGTTGATATGACACCTAAAGGAGAGTTGTGAGTCAAGCCAAAGGCCCAAATATTTAAGTTCATCAACTTGTACAAGTTGAGTATCATCTAGGAATTTGAGTAAAAGTTTGTTATCTTGATTCATTGAAGCTGATCTGGTGGGGAACAATATGCTATATGACTTTTTCTTATTAGCTTCTTATTATTTTTCTTATTCTTATTTAGCAAATGAGAAGGAACTGTTAAACACATCTGCCGGACTAGAGTAGGAGAAATTCGAAAATTGTGAACTACAAATGGAGGAAAAGTGTTGGTTGAAAGCATTGGCAACTGCAAAAGGATCACTGATAACATCATTATTGACTTTGATTTCGGTAGCAATGCTTTTAGTGGAATTTTTAAATAAAGAATTAAGGCTTTTCCAAAACTTCTTAGGATTATTGAAATTATTAGATAGAAAGTTTGTATAATAGTTCGATTTAGCATTCCTTGTTTTAGTCGTACACATATTTCTTAATTGTTTATATACAGCCCCGTCTGATGGATCCTTTGACAGGCGGTACTTTACCCATGCCTTGTCTCTTTGTTTAAACAGACGAATTAAATCAACATCAATCCATGGTAAATGTCGGCCCTTAACCTTGACTGATATCCAAGGGGCATGTTTATCAATTATTTTAAGCACTTCTGTATAGAAAAAATTCCAAGCATCTTCAACTAAAGGAATAAGGTTAAACCTGTTCCAATTTATATCTAATAAATCTTGGATAAAAAACTCAGTGTTAAAATGTTTACTCTGCATTACCCTGATCACCTTGGGTGGTAGGCGTGGTATTCTAATTTTCCATACACAGAAAACCATGGAATGATCACTAAAGCAATCGGGTAGAACACCGGTTTCAGTAATCCTGTTAGAGTGGGTGACCGAAGTGACAGACTTCTCTCTTTCTCATTTACCGAATGTTATTGAACACTGGTGCAAAACAATAGTGAGTTAAAGACAATAATCATTTTAATAGTAACAATTAATTGTTATATACTGTCTTACAATGATTCCCCCTACTAAATGTATATATAGTCACTATGGTTAAACCATCATCTACTTCATTTTTTTTTTCTTTTACCATCATTTACTTAAATGTCACAGGGGAAACAAATCCTTTATATGCATATAAAGGATATTCACAGTTTAAAGTATATACATCTTAAATACATTACCTGAGATCTACATATCCTCTCAAAGGCTTTCAGCTAGGCTGCCATGAAAGCTTTTGGTCTTCTGCCATATACAAATAGATGTATGTGCACCTAAAGGCAAATGGCTGTAGGAATGATTTGGATTAAGATTTACTCTAGGCCTTCAATTAAGGAAAGAGCATGTAAATACTGAAACTGTTTTAGTCATCTGTATCATCTGTACTGTATGAAAAACTTAAGAAAAAAAATCCTGACACAACGCCGAATCATCCCATTTTGTAATGTTGCAAAATAAATATTACTATTAAATTATTAAGCGAGTTTGGTATACAGTTAAATGCACTTGTCTGAACATCCCTAAAACAACTACCGGTAGGCCTACCTGATTTTGCAACAATAAATGCAGTGTCTATAGGTCTCTGTTGCTCAGAGAGGATGTTGCTTTTGCCTAAAACCACATAACCACTGCAAAAATCCAGTAATTTTCTCTCTAGCTAAACTTAAAACAATCAAAACAACAGATCCGCATAAGTCTAAAGACATGTGCAAGTGTTCACATTATAAAAACCAACAAGTAGGCCTGATTACTTACCACATGTTTACCACCAGAAAGATGCAATATGTGATTTGATGTGTTTTCATCATTGCCTGTTTTACAAACAAGTGCGTATGCAGTAATGTCTCCCTCCAGTGGTAGTATCCTATATTAAACAGACCAAGAAAATAATATAATATAATAATTGTATGTAGCGTGTTTTAGATGCTTAGATAAGATTTTTCACGTAGCCTACTGTTTGGTGTCATGCCAGAAAACGTGGTATTTTATTAGCGTATTTGCTTGTGTGTAGGCCTTTGCTAAAGTTAATCCTAAAATAAACCGATAAGGTTGTTTTTGTTGGTTTCTTTCATTACATTGATATCAAAGCCAAACAACATTGTAATCGTTTAGCACCGCTCTTCCAGAGCCATAGAGAGACGGCTCTGCGCTCTTCTTCTATCCAGCGGTCACATGATCTGTAAACTCCGCCCCACATTTTGCCCGTTGACGTCACTTCATTTTACTCCCAGCGTACCCTGCTGCAGCAGCCATCATCTTGAAGTTCAGACAGAGCAAGATGGCGGATAAACCAGGTATGGCTGAATGGGAATTGCATAGTTGAATATGTTTCTCTGTATTACGTTAAGGTTTTTACAGAAATCGTGCTGTTTTATTCATCTCGGTGTCTGAAGACAAGAATGGCGTGAATGTTCATGATGTCGTTTGTGCGTATAGTGTCGCTGAAGGCCTCGATGCAGGCAGACGCGAGTCATGTCAAGGACTTTCAGTAACATTGGCTGCCTGATTACCTTCGTGATTGAATATAATGTCCAGGACATGCAAATCCTCCCGTAGTGTTTTGTGAGATATTCGTTAGTGAATCGTGCTGGTTTGTTAATGAGGGAAAAAACATGCTTAACTACTAACGTTATATACTGTATTGAACTACTGGCTGACAGCTTTCACACAAGAGTAAAAAAAGAAGCAGCATTTGTTAATTTTGTCATTGTCTCATTGACTCATCTCACATTTTTCAGAAAAGGGCAAAATAATTTAGTAGCTATTAATATTAGTAATAATATTTTATTAAATATTGTGGCGTGGGATTGTTCTCTTTACAAAAAGTATAGTAGTATTACCAAAGTTTTCTATGTTTATACCATGGTACTGAATAGTCACCAAATAGTGCTGAAAATGATACTACTTGAATATTTTTAAAAGCAAAACATACCGTGGTGTTTTTTGAGTCTGCTTTGGACTAATTTGAAAAAGTGCATTTTGCATAATCTTATTTTACTTTTTTGGATTTTAAGTTTCATTTGGATGCACAAGGAAACTGACTCACTGAGCTTATCAAATAAAACCTAGTGAAATGCCTTGACAATTGTGTTTGTGTTTTTTCCCTCAGTTGCCCTGGCCCAGAAGAAGCTTTTGGACGTCAAACTCGGGGAACTGCCATCGTGGCTCGGAAAAAGAGACTTCACCCCAAATGGAATTATTGGTGGAGTTCGTGGAGGTAATGAGTAATGTAATTTACAAAATTAATGTAGTTTTTTTTTATATTAGAAAAACATCTTTGATCAGTAATATTGTAATAATTTCTGTTTGTGTGTTTTATAATTTCACTAATCTAATCAAATCTCATCTCAGGCTATGATAGATATTACAACAAATACATCAATGTGAAGAAAGGAGGTATTGGTGGAATTGCCATGTTCATCGCTGGTTACATTGCCCTGAGCTACCTCTGGGAATACGATCACATCAGTAAGTACTAAAAGTATTGGAGAATCCGTAGTAATGTCCTTCGCCATTGTACTGTTGTCTAAATTTAGTGACACTAAGGAAGTGTTTCTTTTCTTGCCTCTCAACAGAGCACGACAGGTGGAGGAAGTACCACTAAAACATACCCTTCGTCTGCAGCAGTGTGATCGCCACACCTCTCAGCTTTCTCTGTTTGTGACTGTTGTGACCAAGAATAAAATGACATTTATTTAATTTGGACTCTTTATTGAAAGCATACAAAAGTGTAGGCTGTATGTATAAGACTTGATTATTCACATTTCTTGTGATGAAATAAACATGTATTAAATTGCTTGGGGTTAGACTTGTGTTTTGTCACGACTCAAGCGTTAGGAAAGTTTTACTGATTTTGAATACAAGTTCAGTATGCAGTCAGTAACGTTGCAACTGAGATTATTAGGGGGGAAAATGTTCACTGAATTTTCAAAGCACAAGAATGTGGGAAAAGGAGGGACAAAATTATCCTCATCCAGAGACAAAAGCTAAAACAGCATGAATAGTTTGTGCTACTTTTCATATTATAAGATACAGATAAAACAAGTCAAAGATAATGCTTTTATAAACTCAGTTAACCTTTATTGTAAGTACAACATCCATTTTTATAGATACAAAAAGGCATGTCAATAGACTGCAAAATGATGTCTCTTCAGATCATCTTGGCTGCTAAATGACACAATGTTCTCTCTAAAGACTGTCATATATTTTCCAAGAATTTCAGCACTGCTTTAAAGCTTAAGCAATCAAGATGCTTGTTGCTCCAATACAAAAGACTCACATTTCAAAGTATGTGATTATGTAAGGTTTTGTTTGAAAGAAAAACAAAATTCAGTAAAAAAGCCGTTTTCTACCTTTTGAATGTGTGTTGACTGTGATGCTCTTGGCACATGGACAGTGAGGTAGAACCACATTTACATCACTCATCTCTAACTTTTACAGTGAAAGGGTAATGTACTAGGAATCGAATACCTCACTTTGCAAGCTATCACCACATATTGGAGATCCTTTATTCAGAAAACTACTGTCCACTCAAAAACGCCAGGTGTCCTTTTGTGCATTTGTTTGCGTAATGGCCCTTCTCACCGCACTGGAAGAAGCAAACCGACATTGAGTGTGATTGCACATTTTGAAATTATTTGCACATATTTGAACATCATCAAATTAATATAGCAGACATAAAAAGTTTATGCAAAAAATCAAATGGCGTTCTCACCTTGTAACATGTAACTTGGTCCAGTGGACGAGGACCGCGAGGTCCACCCATGTTGCTGTGAGAATGCATTATCCCAACAACATTTGGCATTCTCTGGTGGTGGTTGTTGATATTGGGGTTGGTTAACTGGATGAGTGAATGTGACGATCTGTTTATGGGCTGCATGTTTTGCTGCTGGAGAGTAAAAATTAAGATGAAACATTAGTATCAAAGTAAGAATTAAAGAGGCCATATGATGATGTTTTAAAAGTTTATTATTTTGTGTATTGGTTGTGCTAGATAGGTACGGAGACCCGAAAGAGAAACAGTAGTAAAAAAAAAGAAGTAAGAATGGGTGTAAAAAATTTGTCAATGTTTTTGCATTCCCCTGAGAAACTTTGTGTTCGCACGCAAAACCTTTGTGTTCCCACAAAAACTTTGCATTTGTGTGAAAAACTTGAGTTCTTTGAAAAGTTTTGTGAGAGACTGCAAATGCATTATTTGCCTATTTTTTTCTCCAATTTCATATTTTTTCAATCACCATGTCTTTTAGGGGCTCTGTAGAATAGGTAAACAAGCTTTAGTGTTCAAAGAACATTCTTTTTCACATAATGTTTATTATTGCAGCATTTCTATTCCCAGGCTGTCTGAAAAGCACAGATTGAACTCCTTACCATAATCGAGACAACACTACAATCCACTGAAGCCTCACCTTATTTCTTTGCTTATACTTTTGCGCAGGCATTATGCTAATATTTCCAATTGTGACAGACGTTTGCGGAAGTAATATCTGGACTTTGCGTTTTAGGCAGGTCTGGATCAGTGTTCTTTTTTAGATAGAATAAGGGCCATTTACACTACACCGTTTACAACTAAAAACGGAAAACTTTTTTATGCGTTTTGGCCGTACATTTTTAGGGGCTGTACATATATAAATTTTACATATTTTGGGGGCCTGAAAATACAAACTTTTGAAACCGGGATTCAAGTTTTTGAAAATGAATATTGTTACTGTCTCCTTGTACACTACAAAAACACAAATTGGTGAAAACGGTGATGCAGTGCAGATTATGTGTTCAGGCCAATTACTGGCCTTGCATGAATAATACAGCGTTTTTAGACATTGTTGAAGATTCGTGTGAACGGGATTCGTTTTGACAACATCGTCTGTATGCTAAAAACGCAAAGTAAACACTTTTCCGGTTTTAGTACATCATTGTAGTGTAAACATACCCTAAATCCCTTTTGTGGGAGACTATGTGCTTTGTAACTTTGCAGATTGTATACATGTGCAAACAGATACATTACACACAAAAGGAAGAGGAAAACAACCCTTTACGAGTATTTGGAAAAAAAGAAGAAGAAAAATAAACCTTTTGCTGAGACTGTGCTTGTTGAGGTAATGGTGGTTGTTCAGCCGCACCCATTGGGAGTTCAAATCTTGGGCTAGGAATTACAATTTTTTTTTATAATTTGGTTAGAATTGAAGCAGAAATGTTTCTTTAAATCACAATCACAATTGCAATGACAGATACTCACTGCATAAATTTGCATGACTTGCCCTCTGGGCAGAAGCCAACAAGGTAATTTACACAAATGACTCTTCTTGTGTGTCTGTGTCTGCAATCCGGACCTTAAGGGGAGGTGGGGGAAATGGACATTTTATATTTTCCCATACAACAATTCATTTTGAAGTATCTGTAATGTAACTTTCATTTAAATATAAATATTAACTAAAACATTCATTTAAAACATCCTAGCTTGATTTAACACAATTGAATGTAGTACAGTGTTTATACAACTTTTTTTTTTACATGTAATAAAATATATAAATGTAAAACTGAAAATATCCGCAAATAAAAAGACTTACCATGCTTACAAAAACCCCTATCATACCATGGGCAATCTTTAATCTTAGATTCTGGGTCAATGTGCAAGAATGGACACTCTTTGTTACTGCACTCCCCTGCACAAAGAAGTTATTAATACTTATTACACAGACAGACGGATAGATAAGTTATTAATACTTATTACACAGACAGACGGATAGATAGATAGATAGATAGATAGATAGATAGATAGATAGATAGATAGATAGATAGATAGATAGATAAACAGATAGACAGATAGATAGATAGATAGATAGATAGATAGATAGATAGATAGACAGACAGACAGACAGACAGACAGACAGACAGACAGACAGACAGACAGACAGATTTTAAAAATACTAACCGAATTTAGAGTAAAAATAACATTCAGGCATCTTTGTCATGTCATACTCGTGTAAAAATTCACATTGGTCTCCTTTCTTGCATAAACCTCTAAGCCAGTGCTTGCACACCACAGTCTTTTCTCCACTGATGTGTCTGAAGGGGCACATTCCACCTGTCAAAAGAGAAAGCTGTAAAGTCAGATCAAATCAGTAAGTCTCACGTTAAAACCTTAAACAAGCGTCTGGAATACATGCCTTTCATACAGGCAGCTCTCATGAAGAACTCGCACACAGCAGCGCCAGATTCTGAAGAATAACAAGAATAGATTTGTACCGTTATTAAAAGTCTTCTGTCCTAAGCAATATGTATCAAGCAGTTCGTCTTATATGTTGAAATATGATAATAAATCAGAAAACGAAACAAATATTCATCAGTGCTCCAGTTAACTTACTGTCCATTCCTGGAAATGGCAATGGTTGAGCGCCCAATTGTTGTTCTACAGCCATTTCTAGATCAAACTTGAGGTGATCGGCACTAGCAATTAATTCCTGCATTTTGGTATTATATTCTGTATGCTTTTTTTAACAGCAGCAGAAAGTCTTTTCGTTATAACACTTTATCTGAAAACTAAAAGAAGACTTGATGGCTAACAACTTATCAACGTGCCTTTGATCGGGTTTAATACAAGGCGTAAAAAGAGAGAATAGCGAAAAAGTATGCAGATGTATTAATTGAGTAAACGATTTTTAATGTAGCGCATGAGTGGATCGGTAAAAGAGATAAACATTGTAAATAAACAGTTGATTTTAGAACCGTCTGCTTCTACAGCGCTGCTCAAGAGTGACCCCTGACCCGCGAACTCCAGGCCGTATAATCGATTACGACAGCATCGAGGTTTCTGGGAACGCGCGAATTCCATTTTTAAAAAATGTATTTCCTAAAATTAGTAATTTCGTATTATTAATGTCAAAAAGGTGTGCTAATGATCTACTGGTGATTTGTCGTTAGATGGCGACTTGGGCGCCATAAACCATAAAAAATACACGAAATGCTGCTGATGCATTGATCAGTGTGTTGGTTGTTGATTAAAAGGTCTGCTGCAGTCACTAGCGCCATGCAGTGCCAACCAATTGTATTATAAAAGAGTGCTGACAGTGGTGCGGCTGGACAAATTGTACTGGGATTTCAAATTTGAATGTGTGAATCTGAGTTTTAGTCATACATTTATGTATTTCTCCATTTAATATTTTAGTTAATAAAACATAGAACACAGCTGAGGAACCGGAGGAGGAATTCTATTTAAGCTTGGCATATCCATTTTCATTTGAGTATTTTGAACAGATAAGGATAAGAATTAAGTCACATCCACTTCTGAAAATGTCGCTAATCATTCTTTTTAAGATAAAGGAATAAGACCCATTCACTCATTAAATTGTTCTTAAGCTGCAAGGAACTGATGTGAAAACTGAATTTGTACCATCAGTAAACATTTTTCAATAATATTAGGGACATTTTTATTGCCATTCTGCAGTATTAGCTGAGTGAGTAGGCTGTTAATATTGCACATCTGGAGAGAGAAAACATTTTCATATACGAGTTCCAGTTCCAAAAAATTAAGTGCTTGTTATCAGATTATATTGTTTTAATTAAAATACTCAATCAGTTGATTTTTTTTAATGATTACATGTTATTCTCACAATGACAGTAAATTATTCATAATTCATTGACTCTCCCTACTACTACGTTTTTATCTTTAACATTTTCCTTTCTAAAAAAAAAAGTCTATAACTTGTTTATTCAGAACGTCTTTCAGGTTTGTGGACACACAGACCAGCCACTAGTCAAGTGCCTAACACTGAAAACCGAGACCCACATAGCATGTGATTTATTGAAATCATTTCACTTTTAAGTGTTCTCAACATTGCATATCTAATCAGCTCCTGACAAACACATCCATTCTTTTAATTATCACACAGTCAGTCATTTACCCATGTATGTCTTAAGGCTTTTGTCTTTCAAACACATTGAAATGTACAGATTCACATACTTAAATGCAATGCAGGGAATCCCCAAATCAGCTGAACCTCTTTGACCTAATATATTTACTTGAAGTACCCCCTGAGATTTTAAGATAATAGGTTAGGTCAATCATAGGATTAAGACAATAATACTACAAAATAAAATGAAGTTCATGGCTCTCTGATGTCAGTTAATGATCACATGACATGCAGGCAAACAAATAAAATATTTATTTGTTATTTAATTTTAAATATATGATTTAATTACTTAATAGCTTTTCATTAAACTTAACCTCCCCATGCAGTTCCATCACAATCCCCAGTGTGGGAAACCCTGACATGTATTATATTTAATATATATATATATATATATATATGATTGATAATAATCAAAGAATGAGACTGGATACTGATCCAGAATGATTAAGATACAGCAGTTTAATAAAAAAAAGTCAAAACATACATAAACAATCATATTATTTCAAAAGATCCAACATAGTAATAACACCATTAAGTGTATTAAAAATACAAATCAAAGCTCAGTAAGCCGTTTCCCCTTTGCCTCATCCAGAACATCCTCTGCATCCACAGTGAGTGCACTCAATGATACGACCCTAAGACAACAGAGCAAATTAGGGACAGTGAAAGAAATGTAAAAAATCTTGGCATACATAGTTACTAACAGGACCAGTGTTTGGTGAAGAAAAATGGATTCACTAAAACATCTAGACACAGAAACAGCTTCTCACAGGCCATTTCCCTCTTAAACAGTTAAATGCCTCCCAAGGCACATGTCTGAAAGTGCAATACTCCCACCCACGGTGTGCACAACATCTTTGTAAATTAATTCAGTCGTATTTATTCATATTATTCACAATACTGTAAATGCTTATTCTGACTAATCCTATCTGTGTCTTCATACATTTATTTTTTATATATTATTCTTAAATTGTATCATGTCTTGATACATTTATGTGTATGCTGGAAGCTTCAATACCAAGGTAAATTCCTTGTGTGTGTAAACACACTTGGCAAAAAAGCTCTCTCTGATTCTTACCACTTCCAGCTTGCCCTTGGGAACTCTGCATATGCAATTTGTTCCAAAGTTTGTGTCGCGCGTCTGAATGCACCGCAGACAGCACAGATTTTCATATCCCTGTTTCTTCCATTTGGCAATCAAGTTTTTGTCTGCATAGCCCTCTTTGATGCAGTACTCATAAAGCTCTGGGAATAAAATAGAAATGAAGAGTTAACAACTTATAGATCTGAAATAAAACAAACACTACAAAGCTGAATCTAACTAACGTTACAATACCTCGACTGATGGCCTTTCTCTTGTAGAAAAGGTCAAAAATGTAACGGCTGCGTTGGTGATGAAGTCGGAAGATTGGCCAAAGAGACTCAACTTTACGTTTGCCCTCATGTGGCTCGGTTTCAGCTGCGAATGTAAAGCATATTAAGATTGAACACCGTGGTATACGTATAAACGTGATATTATCTAGCCAATAGCACAATAAAAGTGACTTCTTAATCTTTTTTTATGTTTTATTAACGACATACATAAATATGTTTTATTACGCCAACGTTCCTTCTGATCATTAAACGTTACAAATAAACAATCGACTTGTTAGCATTCTGGCTATAGATTGTAGCTTGCTGAACGAACCTTCGCGCATTTTCTGGTCCAGTTCGTCAAGGGTTGGCTCTATGAGCTCCCAACCATCTGGAGGTGGTTTCCTACTCCTTTTTACCTTAGGCATTGTTTTATTTAAGCAATATACTATCGTCTCAGTTATTTAGCAACAACGGGCTGATGCATTAGGAAGTAGGAACTTTACCGATTTCTGTCGCCAAGCAGATGACGTCACTCGTTGGGTCCTTATAGAATGACTTGTTACACGAAAGTTACGTCAACGAGCTGTCTTTGTTCTTACACATATAATACGAACTATATTTATTATCAGGCTTATTTTATTTGACATTTCATTCCTCAAATGGATTGCATTGAAATCCTGAGTCATACACATATCAACATTGGTTTTATTATGGTGAAGCTGTGATGTTATTTTCTCTTCCAGTATATTGCGTCAGGCTAGGTGCCTGGTTGTGTGCCTGAGTGTAAAAATAGAAATATGGACCCTCTGACTGATCACCGATGACTGTACTTACTTAGTTAATCGTGGAATTTTATATTTGTTTTATTTACTGTATCGCCCCCAAGCCAATCACAACCACTTACAATTAATTACTGCAATTTTGCACCTACAGAATTGGATACGTGAGAGTGTGGTGAAGTGAGGCAACCTGCTATCATAACTGTACCAAGCTTTTGTTGGGACTCGGAGTGTGTTTGAGTGGATTTATTTTTTAAATAACAAGTTAAGTTTAACCTTGATCATGCCTAAAGGAGGTAAGAGATCATTTAGTTTTAGATCACTGATTGAGCACGTAATGAGCTGGTGCTGCTCATATAGTCTGCTTTTATGATTGACATTATATACAGTCGATATTCTGTACTTTTAAAATAAGTATTCTGCTTTATCTGGATATTTTTAATTGAGAACAATACTCTTAGAAAGTGATATAGCCCATCTCACCCCCCTTTTTTGTTGTTGTTGTTGCTTATTTTAGGGAAAAAAGGGGGTCATAAAGGTCGCATGAGAACCTACACAAGTCCTGAAGAAATAGATGCTCAAATGAAAGAAGAAAAAGAACGAAAAAAGGTAAGTTGTATTGCAACTTCCGACAGAAATACAAACAAATATGGGCAAGAATGAACTTTTAAAGTAAGCGTTAACGTTTCAGTAATAGTCTTAAAGGGATAGTTCACCCAAAAATGAAACTTCTGTCATTAACATAGCAGCTCCCTCTGCTGGAACAGTTTTTAGTAGTTTCTCTGAGAAGGGAATGTTTATAAACAGCTTAAGTTGGCATGAAATGAAAATGAACCCCATTAATTCAATAAGTGTGTCTTAATGATCTTATTGTGAAGGCCTTGTCATTTTTAATCAAAAATGTCTTAAAACTTTCAGTGCAATGACAGACTTCTCTCTGGTGACGTACGCCAGATTTCTCCAATAATTTAGTCTGTTTAAACTCCACTCCTTTCTTACAATTTAAAATAACAGTAGTTAAGAAAAATACAAAATGTTATTGATTCTCAAGAGCTCCAGTCTACTGCCACTTTCAGATTCAGTGGCCATCTGCAAGTCAAATTACCTAAACAAATGAATTGTTGTATGTTGTAATGGTTTATTTTGACATTGTAGAATGAAGAAGAAGAAGGTGCAGCAGTGAACGACAACCAGAGTGAGGACAAACTGACAGCATCAGGCTCAGAGGACAGTGACGATGAGGGGTCTCAGGTAAAAAATTGGTGCTTCCATGTTCCCGCAGAGCTGTCCATCTACTTTTAGATACTTCTGCAGATTCATTCACCAGAGACTACCGTGGCAGGACGTGGATATTCAGCCAGTTCTGGTCACAAACATCTGGCACACTGTTAAGAATTAGCATCCACACTAAATGTATGTTCTAACGTTCTGTTTATTGTAAGAGTGTGCTGCAGATTTGTCGTCTGCCGCTTTAAATGCTTAAGCTTGTTAAAGTCTGTGGATTCTGATTGGCTGTCAATGTTTCTTTCATTCATCAGCTGAAAAAAAAATAGTTCTAAAAAGTGATTCCAACAATATTGTTGCTCTGTGTCGTTATAGTCATAATTGTGGTGTGGATTGCCCTATTCTCATAGAACTAGAATGCTTATTAAAATGTCATAATTATCGTTATAGTTATCGTTCCTGGTTTGAATGGACCTACACTCAGTTTACTTAATGTGGAATCTCACTGGGTGGAGAGCAGAGCATTGCTCTTTGATTAGTCACTCAATCAATGTGTTTAGAACGTAGGAATTATATATGTGGAATGTCAGTCACAGTCATCTGATGGATGAAGGTTGGTTGGCGATACTTCAAAAATAAATATTTTGAATTGGCTTTTATTTTTACATTTTAGTTAAAGTTTTATTTTTTATGTTATCGTATGTTTCTATTTTGCTTTAATTTATTATTATTTCAGTTTTAGTATTAGTAATTTATCACTTCAACATAAACCTATTTTATTTCAGTTAGTTGCAAAGCCAACATTTCTAATTTACATTTTGTTTTTTTAAATTTACGTCTTTTTTAATCTAATATTCTTATTTTATTTTTCTTTCAGCCTTATTTTCTTATTAAAGTATTTATATATTTTAATTAACTAAACCATTTCAATAGTTTTAGTTTCAGTTAACAATAACAACACTGTCTCCATTTTTGTCACAGAAAAAGAAGGGTATTGAAGGATTGATAGAGATTGAAAATCCTAATCGAGTTGCCCAAAAAACAAAGAAAGTCACAGAGATAGAACTTGAGGGTCCTAAACAGCTTTCCAGAAGAGAAAGGTAAGAGACAACGTCTTTATCTCCAACTACTTGTTACCCTCCCATTATTTGTAATAATTTTATTTGTATAATTTTTTTATGTCATTGCTGCTCACATTATACTAAATGTTTGATATACTTTAATATACTTGTATACAGTCTTCTAGATACGTACATCTGTTCCCTTTCAGCTATTTCAATTTTTTTTCTCTCCATATTTCAGAGAAGAGATTGAAAAGCAAAAGGCCAAGGAGAGGTATATGAAAATGCATTTAGCAGGAAAGACAGATCAAGCTAAAGCCGACCTCGCTCGACTCGCCATTATTAGAAAACAACGTGAGGAGGCTGCACGGAAAAAAGAAGAGGAACGTAAAGGTAAATCTTCAGTTTCAGATCAGGTATTCTGTCTTCTTTTGTACCGTAAAAAAGAAGAAAAGTAAAATAGGATTGGATCACTCTCTGATCCAGTTTTCGGACACTTTTCCGGATTACCAAATCTGGATTACATGGGGTTTCATTTCACAGTGTAGTAGACTGCTAGATATGTAAAGAGCAACAGGTAGAAGAGTTATTGTGGGTAACTTTAAAGGGGTGGTTGATTATGATTTCACTTTTCTAACTTTAGTTAGTGTGTAATGTTGCTGTTTGAGCATAAAGAACATCTGCAAAGTTACAACGCTTAAAGTTCAAAGCAAAGGGAGATATTTGCTTTTAAAGAAATCGTTTTTTAAGGACTACAACAAACGGCTGGTAGGAACTACACGAGTCATCACTAACCCTAAATTTGACATAAACCCCGGCCCCGGGGCAGTCCATGTTGAGAAGAGGAAGAGCTGTTGTTGTAGTCAAGCACATTTGTGAGTCAGCTCAAACTGTAGCATCTGTCTTTTCACATGCAATAGAAAGTCACTTTGTGTGCATCTCACAACAGTTCCTATACAAGCGATTTATAGATTATCCTGGCAGAATATGCTAATTGAAGATAGTTAACTCCACATCAGCAACATAAATTCGGCAACTAACCATTCAGAGATGTCCTGTTGCATTCTACATGTTGTCACTTCTTCTTAGTCTCTCCATTTTTGTCTGACTCCGGTTTAAACATAAAAGGCAGAACAGTTTCTGACATTTTAGGCTGTGTCTACTTGAGGTAATCGGAGCTGCTAACACACACACACTCTTGAAGCTCCGCCCACTGTGTCGGGAGCTGCAGTTCATTTGCATTTAAAGGGCCAGACACAAAACGGTGCGTTTTTGCTAACCCTCAAAAAGTGACAACTTTAACATGCTATATAAAAATATCTGTGGGGTATGTTGAGCTAAAACTTAACATACACACTCTGGGGACATCAGAGATTTATTTTACATCTTGTGAAAATAGTATAATACCACACCTTTAAAGTGTTTTTATATAAAGAGAAAGACAACAACATAAACAAACAAACATCCCCTTCCATTTTCAATTTCTTTAAAACAATCAGACCCCTATGGAGGCACTAAAGGGACATGGATATGTAAAGAAAAATATGAAATGGGAGAAAAATTATATATTTTATATAGGCTACATTTAGTTTTGCATTCCCCCAAGAAAGTTTGCATTCATTCTCAAAAAACTCAAAAGTTTTGAGAGTGAATGCAAAGTTTCTTGGGGGAACGGAAAACATTTGTGAAAGAACACAAAAGCATTAAAATTTATTTATCCTCCCATCTCATATTTTTCCTCCCATTACCATGTCCCTTTAGAGTTTCCATAGCCCCTCGTGTGACCCACATCAAAAACAAACAAATATACATTCAATAAGGGATGCAGTTGTTAGATGAACCAGTCGAAAGTATTTTCTCTGATGATTGTCCCAATGTAGTTTATATACTATACTATTAAAAACACATTTAAAGTTAAATATATTATGTTTTTTTTTAGATTTACAGCTGTTTGGGGGATTATTTGATTTATTTCCAATTTTTTTTTTTACTTTACTGTACTGAAAGGCTTAATATATGTAGCATAATGTTTACATTTTTACTTGAACTGTTAAACTAATCAAGATCCACATAGAAATATAAATGTGTATATATATATACATGACACAAATGTTTTATTTATTTTTTTACCAGTTTTAAAGTTTTATTAAATTTTTGTTCCTGAAATCCACCCTTCTGCTGGGTTCAGCATAATCCTGCATTTTTTGGATCAAAGGTATCCTAATCTATTTTCCTTAAAGGTTTTGAAAAACACAAACTGACGGTTTAATCCAGATCAAAACCAAGATTGGATTTTGTGATCTAATCCAATTTTGGAATACCGGTACTTTTTTTTTCTTGGTTTGAACAACCCATTTTTAAGATTTCCTCCAATCCAATAGCCGAAATTAGGTTAGATTACTTCTGAACAACTGTGGGCCCAGCTTACATCTTCTTTCAAAAGTGACCAATATCCGATATCTGCATTTACACTTTACACTTGGCATAACAACCCAATGTAGACATACTGACCCAGAAAAGCTTAAAGACATAAAGACCGAAAAGGAAGTAAAAACGGCGCGATTTGCAATAAACGCATACGAAATAATAATTTTGCTTTAAAGGTCAGCAAAACATTAGTCTCTTAAAGGGTTAGTTCACCCAAAAATGAAAATTCTGTCAGTAATTACTCACCCTCATGTTGTTCCAACCCCGTAAGACTTTCGTTTCACATCACACACATGACCAGCGTCGGCCAATAGTGAGCCTGCATGTGACGTACAACACAGAAGCGCTGTGCAGTTCCACTACATGAACTCACGTCAGAGGCCCACAGAGAAGGAAATGAATAGTTGAATAAAGTCGTTATTTTTGTTTGATTTTTGCGCACAAAAGGTATTCTCGGCGCTTGATAAACTTAAGATTGAGCCACTGTAGTCACTCGGACTATTTTAACGATGTCTTTAATAACGTTTGGGCCGGCCAGTTTCGATCCCTTAGAAGCCTATGGAGGAGTGATCCAGCTCTCAGATTTAATCAAAAATATCTTAATTTGTGTTCCGAAGATGAACGAAAGTCTTACGGGGTTGGAACAACATGAGGGCGAGTACTGACAGAATTTTCATTTTTGGGTGAACTAGCCCTTTAAGGCAGAGGGATAAAAAGAGGAGAGCACTTGTTGCAGCCTAGAAAATCCTCCTGAGTTGACATCATTCGCCACTGTTGCTTTTTCAATGACGTACGTCGCATTGACAGTGGGAATATCCGATCTGTCCTCTGCTTACATGATAGATCATAGATGCAAATGCACATCCAATTCATGTCAGATTTATTTCCACATATGAATGAGGCTTGAGACCGATCTGAGAGTATCGGACTCCATATTCTTTTTTCCTGCTCACACGTTCGTGGGTCATATCCGATCTGTGCCACATGGGAGGAAAAAAAATCTAAATTGGGTGCAATATAAATGTGGGCAAAATGTCTCATGGCAAATCAGAGATTAATTGATGTTTTCTTCTTTGTCGTTGTAGAAAAAGATGCAACAGTGGCGGCAGCAGCAGCGGCGAAAGGACTACATACATTGTCACTCAAGTAATCCAAATATTGGATTCTTAGAGGTTTTAATGCATTTGTGGACAGTATATAATTATATTGACAATGTTATATTTGAAGACAACGCAAAAGATAATGTGGTATGCTATGTAAGATGAAAAGGAATATTTCAGAGTATATTAACCCAAAAAGCAGGCATTTTATTGTCCAAATAAAATGTCTTTGTGAAAGCTCTGGTGCTTTCACTAAAGTGACTAAATCTTAATGCTTGCTTTCACTCAGTGATATTAGTATAGACATATTTATTAATATATTAACATATTGCCACATGTAACTGAGTGGACTTTGCCATCTCAGTTTAAAGGATTACTGTAAGAATAAAGACATCTGTCCTCAGTTGTAAAGGACCTGGTGTAATTTAGAATGATGTTCTGATGTTATTCCCTTCGAATAATGTAAAGAAAAACATACCAATAAAATTTCAGAACTTTTTATTATATCGTGAATTATTTTGTACATCTTAATAGTATTCTTGAATCCCTTCCGAGGAACTGTTTTGATTTTTTTAAAGGTGTAGTTTTGTACATTGTACTTGAATGCATTAATATTTTTGACATTTTGTAGTTGTTATATGTATTGACACTTATATTATTTTTAGATCATTACATCATACATTATATCATTTATATTATATATTTCTAGATCATTTTTAGAGTGCATTAGAAACATATTGCGAAGATGTTTAAAATATATATTTTTAGCATTATCATATTGCACACAACCTTTGATCGACTAGCCACGCCCCGCAGCGTGATCATTGGTCTCCAAATTTCGCGGACTTTGACACGAGGAAACCTAAAAGAAAGAACAACACACATTCACTAAAAGTAATTCGGAGCGAAGCGTTCATCACGTTTGTTAAGGTAAGTAGAAGAACATTCCGACTGTATATTACTAGCTATGTTTAAAATTTAGGTAACGTAAAGCATAGTTGTGATTTAGTGGATCAAATCAAAACCTTGTGACTGTCTGCATGTGCTCCACATTCTTGGCCGCATAATGTTAATCTCTCACGGTTGTGCAGATAACGTTATGTGCATAAAGAGCGCTTCCATTAGTGCTATATGCACGAATGCTAATCGCATCGTTTCAGTTTTTATTAGTAAACGTTTCCATCACTCACTTATGTATTATTTTAGTTACAGGATGTATTTCGCGGGAAAAATGCAACTCTAAAGGCAGTAGTTCCGGTTTGTGTGTCATACTTGCTGCAAATCTAATTTTGTTTTACCCCTAAAGTTATCGACAAGACATGGAAAAACAGTTATGTTTCGTAAGCGTGCTCCGCGCTGCCAGCTGCAGTTGCATCATTTGATTGACAGCTGAGCAGTGTTATTTTAGTACTATACTATTATGGTATTTATTCGTATATTTTCAGTTTTCATTAAAAATATATATATTTCCATTCAACTTATTTCACATTGTTTGAGTAATTGTATTACTTTAAGTTAAAGTTTTTTTAAAACTAATTTTCATTTGGACGAAGAATGACTTAAAGTTTAAGAACTCAAACTCAAGGACATGCTTCTATTATAAATAATGTATCCCAGTGTATGTAACAATAACATAATTTCCTCTAGAGGTAATCAACTATGGCTCAGATCAACGGCCATAATAATAAAACATGGGAGTCTCATAACAAGATGATGCTGGAGCCTCTCAGCACAAATGATCCTGAGGTAAGTGTGTGATTATACAAACAAACAGCCTTAAGACTGTATTATTTTGAAAGCATGCAGTGTACCATGAGTGATATTGTGAAATGTGTCTCCTAGACTATTATCTGCTCCGTGACTGACAGCTGTAGCACATCTATGCTTGACTCAATTAAAACGACTTGTCATTGTTTATCTGTTTATCGCATTGATAGATTTCTGTTTGCACTAGATATTTGACATAATAAAGAAGGAGAAGCGGCGGCAGACGTATGGATTAGAGCTCATTGCCTCTGAGAACTTCACTAGTCGAGCTGTTTTGGAGGCTCTTGGTTCCTGCATGAACAACAAGTACTCTGAGGGTTATCCTGGTCAGAGGTAACTATTGTGCAATGACATTTCATGTACTGTTTAATTACAATTTAATGTTGTTTTTGTAATGAGAATAATATTATTTTATTTACACTTAGCACTTAAGATATTGAAAAATGGGCTTGTGTTAAATCTCAAATTTTGTTTAATGTTATAAGATATTATGGAGGCACAGAGCATGTTGATGAATTGGAGCGTGTGTGTCAGGCAAGAGCTCTCAAGGTCTACGGCCTCGACCCGGATAAATGGGGAGTGAATGTTCAACCGTACTCTGGTAGGCTTGTTTCTGTGTCTGGACTGTTGCTGCTGGAAGAGATGATGTAACAAATGAAACATTAACTCAATCGCACATTGTTCAAAATATTGTTTCTTTTTTTCCTCAGGGTCACCTGCGAACTTTGCCGTATACACAGCCATAGTGGAACCTCATGGGCGGATCATGGGCCTTGATCTTCCTGATGGCGGCCATCTCACCCATGGCTTCATGACTGACAAGAAGAAAATCTCAGCCACATCTATTTTCTTTGAGTCTATGCCTTATAAGGTAACCTTGTAGTGAACTCTTTAGTTAGTGTTAAGTTCAACATTTACTAAGACATTATTAAAATCAAAAGTTGTTTCTGTTAAAAAAATTTAATAGAAGTGAACTAACAATGAACAGTTGTATTTTTATTAACTAACGGTAACAAATATGAATAAATACTCTTACTGTATTTCTAATTGCAAATTTTAGTTAATGCATTAACTAACATTAAGTATTGGGACCTTATTGTAAAGTGTTTTTCCCCAGGTAAATCCAGAAACTGGATATATTGATTATGACAGACTTGAGGAAAATGCTCGCCTCTTCCACCCAAGACTAATCATTGCAGGTCAGGAAATCTAAGGAATTTCTGAACTACAGGATGTAAAGTATTCATAATTTTAGTTGTTGGACAATCAAAAAAAAATGTGTTTTTATCTTTGAGAGTTGAGATTTTATTATATATATATATTTTCTAAATTCCTTTTTGTGATTTCTTATGTGTCATTTTTTATACATCTTTGTTCAACTAAATAATGTGAAAAAAACTACATAAACAGGTTTTCTGAATATTCCCTCTTTTTCTGCTATTAGTCAGATAAACAATAAGCTCTGCCCAAATTCACATCATTGGTTAATCCAGTGTTGCTGGTTGGGACAATGTATTTTAAAGGGCACCTATTATTCAAAATCCACTTTTTGGACATAAATGTGATTGTGTGAACACAATCACCCTACAATGATAAAAATCCCCATTAAAGCAAAGCAGTCTCATTAGACATGCCGTTTTGAATCTCTGAGCAGTGTGACAACATACTGCTCAGGCCCCGCCCACGGCCGCTGACCGACAGTCCTGCATTACCATAGTTTCCGCCCTCAGTGAGTTGTACACTACCCGCCATTTTCTCCGCGTTTGAGCAGCTGTAGCTGTTACGTCTGAAAACGTTCAGTATTGTTTCCTGTTGGACTCTGTTATGTTATGCACTGCGAGTGACAGGTTACGGTGCTTTTTAAGGCTTACGGCAGTGATTTACGGCAAGGGTCAACAAATGTAAGGTTTGCATCAGTTCAGTAAACGCAACATGAACGGAGCTACACGGTGTGGTTATTGAGTCCTACACAAACACATCAACAAACGTCTCGTAAGCAATCCAGGTGTTCTGTTGTCAGTTGGATGTAAGAGTGAACTTAAGAGTCTTCGTTTTCTCTCAACATCTGAGCCACTGAGGAGACATTAGTGAATTAGTTTTATTTTTTAAGGTAACGCGCCTCAAAATATACCTAAATTCATGACGCATTTGCAACGAGCGGAACCGATAAGCGGAATTGTTAAGCAAGCATGCTAACGGTTCCAAGGAATCGATTCACTGGGCACCGGTTCTGAAGAAGAACCGGTTCTCGGTTCCCATCCCGGCGGCGTTGGTACGGCAAAATTTTTGTATGTGAATGCTGTTTTACATGAATATTATGGCACGAGTGGAGCACAACACGTTGTTTACAAAAGAAATAATAGGTTAGCAATTAAATGTTACATCGCAGCCATGGAAACATTTGGATTCATGACGAATGAGAGAGTTATAGCCCATAAATTTAAGCTTTGTCAGCTTTGTATTCTGGTTTGCAATCTGGTCACCTGATTATCAGCGAATTTAACAATATTCCATTAGTTATTCCACTGGACATTTATTTTCCCAAATCTTCACTCACGTCTCACCCATTTTCGAAGGGGATTATAAACGATTCTTCCTTGGTTCGCTTTTAATTAGGCCTAATATATTCACATTCTTTACTGTGGTAAAGTAGAAAAACGCTGTAGGACAGATTTTTAATGCACGTTTGTGCTTGTTATTAGACATCGTAAGGCGCGGCAAGTTTATTTTTAAACCGCGTTGCACACGTGGGTGATTTTAGTTTTGCATCCTCTGGCAGCGCAAAATCAAACACAGTCTAAATGTCTTGCCCTTGTGGAAGATAAAATTCGCTCTTCAGACCTTTTACAACAAGTAGAAAACATGAAGATATCAGAAAAGAGATATCGATGGTCTTTCCTGCTCGTGTCCCACATCCCTCTCAAAGCGCAGAGAGGTATGCTATATGACGCGTCTATGTGTGGAAATATAAAACAAATGTTTTTTTTTAAATATTTAACTTTATTATATTATTTAAGTTGCCATTATTTACTGATATTTATTTCAATGCTTTACAGGTTTTAGTGTGTCTCTTTGACGGACTTGCTCAAATAAATACGCATGTCTGTTACGAAATGGATGTTTGAGCCTCGTTTATTATTATTTTTTATTTCAAAACCACCGCGCAACCGCCGGTAGTTGGTCCACCGCGGTAGTTAAAAACTGCCACCGTCACAGCCCTACTCGAGGATGGATCAGTAGTAGTACCAACTGTTCGTGATACAGCTTATAGTTTCCAGAGCGATACTGGTCACAGCAGTAATGAAAGCTAGAGCACGCACTTTATTACAGTTCATAGGAGTTTTACGGATATAAAGTTTATATCAGCATATACTAATGTCACGGATAGTTCCTAT